ATTATTGTTTAAGGTTGACGGACACGCGTGTCTTATTTTTTTGTTGTTGTTGTTTTTTTGTTTTTTTTTTGTTTTTTTTTACGAATTGGTAAAACCCAAATTCAAACAAAAACATTGTTTTCAATCGTTATGAGTCTACCGATTGAATAGAATTTTATTATAAACAATTGTCTTGTAAATGGAATTTTTAAAGCATTCTGAATGTAAAAATAAAGAAAAAAGTGTGCAAGACAATAAGAAACACGACTTGCCAAAAAAAAAAGTGAAGTTTTGTTGTAATCGGTTGAAAAATGTAGGAAATCCGATCCCATATATAAACGAACACACACACACACAAACAACCTGGGTTTTATAATAAGTATAACTCGATATGAGTTGTCCCCCTTTCATTCTCGCGATGCCTCTTAATCGTGTTTTCAAAGTGATTTCATGCAAAAACAATTATGTTTTTTCATTTTTTTGGCGCTGTCAGAACCACCGCAAGGTAATTTTACGTAGTGCTGTGAAGTTTTGTTGAAATCGGTTGAAAAATGTACGAAATCCGATCCAATATATAAACGTCCAGACACACACACACACACACACACACACACACACACACACACACACACACACACACACACACACACACAACCTGGGTTTTATAATAAGCATAATTACCACAAGCGCATTAAATTAACACTAAAATTCACGCATTACTCATTTACATTATTTACATTATTCGGACTGTTATCCTCATCTTCATTGCCGAATTGGCAACGTTTCGGTTGGTGTACGCTCCAAACATCTTCAGGTGATTAGAATTTCAAATCGGACACTTTCTAGTTCCACGTGCCATGCCTTTTCCGGATATCTCGATTATTTCCCTTTAACTTAAAACTTTCGGTTCATCGCTGCTGTAGCCTTGTATTGAAATCACAAATCTCTGTGTTTAGTCACTGGATTTAACCAACGTCTTTGTATGCTGAGATATGTGCCCTCAAAACTTCGAAATTCCAATCACGTGAAGAAGGCCGGATCGTACAACGGCCGAAACGTTGTGAATGTGGCAATAAAGGTGAGGATAGCAGTATGAATAATGTAAATAATGCAAATAATCACAATACCCCATCTCAGAGATACAGGCAAATAGTAATGATCATAAAAGAATAATGTATCCAAATACTTTTCAGTGAACCCATAAACACTTATGGAAATTTCGTTATCTACCAATCAAGAATTATGTAGAAATCCATAGACTTTCGTCAGTGTTTACGCAACAAAGTGATTTCTTTGGATTCTAATGGGCTTAATATATGCACAGGATCAAACAAAAACAACTTCATTAAAAATAACCAATTATTTATGAAGAAAGCTTCCCAAAGCATTGGAAAGAATACCCTCAATCTAAAAAAAGAATTGGCCACGAATACATATAGTAATTTAATTTAATCATAATGAAAAAGATATCTTCTTTCCTCAAAAGAGACTTCCAAAATCTTAATCTAGCTCGTCTAATTAAAGTATTCTGCAAACTCCCAATTAGCGCAGGACGACACACACCCAATCTTCCTATCACTAGTTACATCTTCCATGCTAAAAAAAAACAAATGCTTTAGAATGCAATTAGGCATTTAATAAAACCACGGTGTAAAATCTGTAAGCACGTTGTCATCGTAAAAACCCACATTTGTCCAGGCACGGAAGTTAAAATACACATCCGCATTTTAATTGTAAGAGTTCCAGAAATAGTCACCTGATTGTATGTAATATCTGTGACATAGGCAATTATATTGAAGATGTTGGATGTGAATTTCGTCTCCCAGTTAGCAATCACAAAATGACAATGACAGAAATCTCTAATTTCTCTATTATAGCACATTTCAACTTATCTAATCATCGTGTAGAAAATTTTAGATTCATATTTCTAATGACTTCGTATAATTCTGAAACTAGACGAAGCTTAAAATAATTTCATCATCTCTTTTAATATCCACAATTTAAATTTAAATGGAGACCAGGGAATTCTCAACAATTACATTTTTTGCAACATAAAACAGAAACTGCTCCGGTTTTTTTAAGTTTGATTGATGATTGATTCGTTTTCTGCGGATTACCAAGCCTTTGCAGGTTATCTAAACCAGAAAATATCTAATTAATTAATTAATTTATTTATTGTGTAATAATTATTGAGTGATACACTTTTTGCTAATTAACCCATAGCTAGGGTGAGAAGAATGGGATTCATACTTTTTTCCAAAACTATTTGAGCGTAAGTGAATATACCAAACCTATTTTGAAATGGAGGTCGGCTTTCCAATTAACAATTCTGAGTCATTTTTTCTTTACACCACTCGCATTGCTAGGTCTGCTGCTAAAAATTTGGTTTACTAAGAGGTGCTAGAATTTTTTTTTTATTTCCAGAAATATTACATATTTATAAGTCTACCATTCGTCCATGCTTTGAATATTGCTGACACATATGGTTCGTTGCACCTGCTGTATATTTAGAGATTCTTGAGAAAATCCAAAGAAGATTCTGAATTAGGCAGCAATAAACTACAGAAGAACTCAAAATTGTCTCGCGCTATGTCACTTTCCAACCGCGGTAATGTAGCTTCTCTGTGCATTTTCTATAAAGATTTTCATGATAAATTTTCGGATGAACTCTTCGCTCTAATTCCTGCACTTAATGAATTTAAGCGCAGTACTAGATTGACTGACAGGTCTCATCAATTCACGTTTTCATTGAATTGATGCAGCCGTAAGTTTTATGCTGAAAATCTCTTTTCTCACCTGTTGAACTCTCTTCTGGCTCCATGCTTTATATCCAACATTGATCTTCAAAAATGTAAATACAATGTCAATCGTCATCTAACGTCTTGATTACTCGTCATTTATTCTTGCTTCTTCTCTTTTTACTTATTCTTTCACACTCAGTAACCCTTTCTGTCTTAGTGGCTTTACTCCTTGCATGACGTGATATATTAAAAGAAAACTTCAATTCTCAAGCAATCATCTACCTAGGTATTGACCATGCACGCGTTGCTTAACTACGATGATCGTAGAACTAGTTTTTCAACATGATATAGTCGTAAAAGGTGTGTGTGTGTGTGTGTGTTTAGTGTAAATAATAATAAAAGACATGGCTATAAATAGACGCTTAGCTTATATATTTCTCGATGGGTTTATTTTCATTAAAATTTGCTGGTGATATATATATATATATATATATATATATATAATAAAATATATATATATATATATATAGATAAAAAATAAAAGATATAAAATGAATGAGATATCTAGCTAGATAGGTTTGAATAGGTCAAAATTCCTCGACTAGTTTCGGCCAACATGGCCATCATCAGGAGAAAAAAAAAATTCTCCTTGCTGGTAGCAGTGAACTACAGAAATGAATGTCTTGATAGAGAAAATGAACTTTTGTCTGTAGTTTACATTTTTTCTTTTTTCTTTTTTACATGAATTTTGGTTAGCCTTGTGTTGGTCAAACAGTCTCTTTTAAGCTGTTATTTAAGATAAGAGGTGGATTGATTCATGATGCTCCGAATTCCCTTGGTAATTTTGACACTTTTATTGGTTCCTGGAAAGGGGATGTCTCTCTGTTAAGTGTGTGCGTGTTATTTGGTTCTTAGGGAGTGAATGAGTATGATGTGTGTAAGTGTGTATATTCGTGTAGGTGGGTGTATAAATGTGAGGCCTCAACACCTCCGTAAGCATGTCTGTCTTGTGTAGGTGAGAAATGTGGGTAGGTCCTGGTTTGTATATATATATATATATATATATATATATATATATATATATATATGCTCATTTAAATTTATTTCGAGAATCTCTTTCTAACTGTCTATTTTTTATTAATATTAATACTATTTTTATTGTCAATATTACCATCATAACTATTCTTAACAACCTATAGTCACAGATAACATCTTATTTACTTTCAGGCTTCCAGTTTCATAATTTCTTTTTTTTTTTCATATTTTTTTATTATTTAATACTCTTCATCTTATATTCTCGCCTATTAGTACGCAAATAATTCAGAGTAAAAGGCGTTCTCAGAGACACACCTCACTATTTATAGTTGGCTCCATCTCACTGGAGTAAGAAATAAAAAAAATAGGATAGGCAGAAACAATAAAATTCTTCATCACATGCCTCAACCAAATGGTTGTTGATACTTCCACTGTAGTCACTGATGTCTACGTGATTTGAAATTTATCCCCTTAAATATAGCAATGCTATTATAATTATTCTTGTCCCCCACTTCGTTCGTTTGAACGAATATTACATCCTGTAATTACCTCATAAATAATGGAAAATTATGTTTCGATCGCGTGGAAAGAGTGAAAGATATTACTTGCTTTCCGAAAAAGAAAGAAAGGAGATAAAGCCACTAAGACACAAGCGGTTACCGAGTGTGAAAGAATAAGTAAAAAGAGAAGGATCGAGAACAATAGATGAGTGATCAAGAAGACAGAGGATAACGATTGACATTGTATTTACAATTTTGAAGATCAAAGTCGGCTATAATGCATGCTGGCGGAAGTGAATTCCATTGGTGAGAAAAGAGATTCTCAACATAAAACTTACGGCTGCATCAAGACAATGAAAATGTGAATTGATGAGACCTGTCCGCCAATCTAGTACTGCGCTTAAATTCATAAATAATGGACAATTCCGTTTGGATCTCGTGGAAAGACTGAAAGATATTACTTGGTTTCCGAGAAAGAAAGAAAGAAAGAAAGAAAGAAAGAAAGAAATTTTTAAAGTATTCTGTTATTATCTCACAAATGATGGGCCATTCTCATTTAATCGCATGGAAAGCAGGGATAAGACATTACGTGGTTTCAGTGAGAATATGAAAGAAAGTAAAAACGAAAGTAAAAAAAATTATAAAAGAATGAACGAAAGAAATAAAAGTGTTTGTCTCCTGCCAATACTTCATAAACAATTCCATTTGAATCGTGTGGAAAGACGGGAAAAGACACTACTTGGTTTCAATAAGAAAAAGAAAGAAAGAAAGAAAGAAAGAAACAAACAAACAAAGAAACAAACAAAGAAACAAACAAACAAACAAACAAAGAAACAAAAAAACAAACAAAGAAACAAGTAAAGAAACAAAAAAGAAAGAAACAAAGGAAGAAACAAAGAAAGAAACAAAGATAGAAACAAAGAAACACAGGAAGAAACAAATAAAGAAACAAAGAAAGAAACAAATAAAGAAACAAAGAAAGAAACAAAGAAACAAATAAAGAAACAAATAAAGAAACAAAGAAAGAAACAAAGAAACAAAGAAAGAACCACAGAAAGAAACAAAGAAAGAAACAAAGAAAGAAACAAAGAAAGAAACAAATTAAGAAACAAAGAAAGAAACAAAGAAAGAAACAAAGAAAGAAACACAGAAAGAAACAAAGAAAGAAACAAAGAAAGAAAACAAAGAAACAAAGAAACAAAAAAACAAAGATAAAAAAACAAATAAAGAAACAAAGAAAGAAACAAAGAAAAACAAAGAAAGAAACAAATAAAGAAACAAAAAAAAAAAACAAATAAAGAAACAAAAAGAAAAAAAAAAAAGAAAAAAAAGAAAGAAACAAAGAAAGAAACAAAGAAAGAAACAAAGAAAGAAACAAATGAAAGAAACAAAGAAAAACAAAGAAAGAAACAAAGAAAGAAACAAAGAAATAAACAAAGAAAGAAACAAAGAAAGAAACAAAGAAAGAAACAAAGAAAGAAACAAAGAAAAAAACAAAGAAAGAAACAAAGAAATAAACAAAGAAAGAAACAAAGAAAGAAACAAAGAAAGAAACAAAGAAAGAAACAAATAAAAAACCACAGAAAGAAACAAATAAAGAAACAAAGAAAGAAACAAAGAAAGAAACAAAGATAAAAAAACAAATAAAGAAACAAAGAAAGAAACAAAGAAAGAAACAAAGAAAAAACAAAGAAAGAAACAAATAAAGAACCACAGAAAGAAACAAATAAAGAAACAAATAAAGAAACAAAGAAAAAAACAAAGAAAGAAACAAATAAAGAACCACAGAAAGAAACAAATAAAGAAACAAATAAAGAAACAAAGAAAAAAAAAAAAAACAAATAAAGAAACAAAAAGAAAAAACAAAAAAAAAGAAAGAAACAAACAAAGAAACAAAGAAACAAAAAACAAAGATAAAAAAAAACAAATAAAAAACAAAAAAAGAAACAAAAAGAAAGAAACAAAAAAAAAAAGAACAGAAAGAAACAAATAAAGAAACAAATAAAGAAACAAATAAAGAAACAAAGAAAAAACAAAGAAAGAAACAAATAAAGAAACAAAGAAAGAAACAAAGAAAAAAACAAAGAAAGAAACAAAGAAAGAAACAAATAAAGAACCACAGAAAGATACAAATAAAGAAACAAAGAAAGAAACAAATAAAGAACCACAGAAAGATACAAATAAAGAAACAAAGAAAGAAACAAATAAAGAACCACAGAAAGAAACAAAGAAAGAAATAAAGAAAGAAACAAAGAAAGAAACAAATAAAAAACCACAGAAAGAAACAAATAAAGAAACAAACAAAGAAAGAAACAAAGAGGTGTTTAACATCTGTTTCAGTGAAATGGAAATCGTTGACTGGGTATTAGAGAATATAATAAAAATATACTGTTACGGAGAGAAGTCAATAAAGGACAAGAATTCAAAAGACAGAAGATAACGATTGAGATTGCATTTAAAACTTTTAAGATCAAAGTAGACAGGGGAGCAAGAAGCCGGGAGAGAGTTCCACAAGCGACAAGTGCGATAGAAGTAACCTTTGGGATAAACTTACGGTTACATCTAGCCATTTTAACTGTAAAAGTATGAGTCATTACTGCCAATTTAGTACTCCGCTTAAATACATTAAGTCTCGGCACGAATAGGTTAATCAGAACAATTATCATAAAAGTATTTACAGAAAAAAAAAAACACAGGGAAGTTACGTGACGGCAGTGGGAAAGGGACTGAAGCCGAGATACCAGATCAGCACCACAAACATTGCAAATTTTTCTTTGAATTTTATCAAGATTCTCTAAATATATAGCTGGACTACCAGACCAGATGTGGCAGCAATATTCAAAGCGGGGATGAATGGAAAACTTATAAATATGTAGGATAGGTTTTAGAGAGAAAAATTGTCTAGTAGGACATAGTTAAAAAAATTTTCTTAGCTCCAGAATTTGAAATACATTCAATATAGTCTTTCCACTTCATGTCAGCTGAGAACGTTGGCTCGAGAAGGAGCAATGAGTCACTCCAGGAAGTTAGCATCAGCCATGCCTATGGAAGGTAAAAAGGGTACTCTCACATGGTTAAAAGATGGTATTTCGTGTTTAAACCGCTCCCTTTATTTAATATTATATTCATTTATTTTCGTCTACCGATAGATAGATAGATAGATAGATAGATAGATAGATAGATAGATATGAATAGGTCAAGATGTGAAGGTAGTTATAAAAGGAGTGAGATATCTAGCTAGATAGATAGGTTTGAATAGGTCAAAATATATAGATACGTAGGTATAAAATGTTAAAAGTTTAATTTTGTTTTACGGCATGTCAACCTCAATCAGTTATTTAATGCTGACATTTTTTTTTAGTGGTAATATGTTTTTCTTCAAAAATCTATTTCTGGGAATATTTTTCCTTTAAGAAATCTATAGCTGATCATATTATTTCAAAGAATGTATAACTGTTTTTATTGCTGGTATTTGTTTTAAAGTATTGCTGACAATAATGTTTCTTTGAAAAATTATTGTTGGTAATATTTTTTTTATTACGAAGTATTTATGGTATTAAAACCTTTTTTTTTTTACACAAGTTTGGGTGTTAACTATTTGCCCATAGCTGGGACTCTAACAGGTGCTACCACCCCGGGCCTGGGAACACCAGCAATTAAGAGATGGTTCCACGCTCCTCAAAACCTTTTGATCAGAGACCTTTCTTTTGGAGGTAGTTTATCGTCTTACCCAGAACGCGGATGTTGTTTATCGTCATACCCAGGACGAGTAGGTATAAAAGGAGTGAGATAGATCGATAATGAACATACTGACATAGATAGATAGATAGATAGATAGATAGATAGATAGATAGATAGATACGATTAGGTCAAGATAGATAGATAGATAGATAGATAGATAGATACGATTAGGTAAAGATAGATACGATTAGGTAAAGATAGATAGATAGATAGATAGATAGATAGATAGATAGATAGATAGATAGATACGATTAGGTCAAGATAGATAGATAGATACGATTAGGTCAAGATAGATAGATAGATTGAAAGAAAGAAAAAAAGAAAGAAAGAAAGAAAAAAAGAAAGAAAGAAAATGAATAGGTCAAAATAGATAGTAGATATAAATATATATAGTCCGATAGATTTATATTAAGAAATGGACAAAAGACATTTTTATGACATTTTTATGTTTAACGTTCTTTTTTTTTTTTATAGATACAAGTATTTAAGTAAATGCTCTGTTTATAATAAACAGTATTAAATAACATTTACCGGCCTGAATGTCCGAGAAATTTTCATAGCAAATATTCGTCCTTTGACAGAATTCGAACCTGCATCCTATACGGAACCGTCATTTACGCTGACGTGCCTATGAAAATTTCTATGAAAATTTCTCGGGCATTTAGGCCGGTAAATATTATTTAATACTGTTTATTATAAACAGAGCATTTACTTAAATACTTGTATCTATTTAAAAAAAAAAAAAAAAAAAAAAGTTAAACATAAAAATGTCTTTAATAAATAGATAGATAGATAGGAATATGTTAAAATAGGTAGGTATAAAAAGAGTTAGATAGATAGATTTAAATAAGCCAAAATAGATAGATACGTAAGTATAAAATGATTGAGATAGATCGATAATGAAAATACTGTCGTAGATACATAGATAGATATATATGAACAGGTTAAGATAGCACATTTGTCCGTGAAGTGTTTGTGTGTGTGTGTGTGTGTGTGTGCCTGTGCCTATGCGTGTGTGTGTGTCTGTGTGTGTTTGTATTAAGTGTCTACTCTTAATGACGCATCACAAATCAAAATTCAATTGCCTGCTTCCTGATGTTTCCTTTTTCATCGCTGACTACACCCTAGCAGACGTATCGATCTATTTACTCTTTCATTACATGAATAAAACTGCCTAACATTGACCGTATCTTCCCGACCGAGAAAAAAAAACCCTAACATTTTGCGCAGAGAATAAACAACATTTGGCAAGTAAGAAAATAGTAACTAACCGATGGATCGGTCGGATGACCAATTTATGAACTTGGCAAGACGGCCATACGACACAAAGAATGAACCCAAACGAACGTCGGCTACTTTGATTCAAAGACTGGGAATGAAGAGGAGGAATACTACGAGCATGATTCCTCTGAAATTGGAATCAAATTGCTAGTTCATCGGGAGATTCTCTCATGCCTGCATTATTATTTGTCTTATGGTCATTTCCTTAAACAAAATAATTACCTTTATTAAAATATTTCTATGAATAAAATCATATAATTTTAATACAACCCACAGGCACCTATTGAAATACGTAAAAATGATGAGAATGTAATCTATTTTTAAGCCAGTAGAATACCAAGCCTAAAAGATTGGTCAATAGGTACCTACAATGACATTATTTATCAAATCAATAGTCAATAATTTTATCTCACTGACTGACTTCATAGTTTCACGTAATACATTTCAACAACGTCAGGGGTTCCTTTTTATTACACCCTCTGAATCATATGCGCAATTTGAGTCGAACCATTGAAGTCGGTCACTGAGATAACTCCATTGAATATCTATTGATTTATTGAATACTAATAGGTCTGTAATAACACATATAAGATTATATCAACATACTCATCTGTCTCCCTCAATCTATGTCTCTGTCACACTGCCTGTAACTGTTCTCATTTAACCACAATAGACAAATAGTTTTGTCTGTCATCAGCATGGCTGACGCTAGACTCCGGGAGAGTACAACACTACCACCTATGGACTAACGTTTTCAACTGAAGTAGAACGGCTACATTAAATCAATAGCTGCATCTACTGCAAGGAGACTTGGATCACTGTGTTGTGATAGAATTTTTTTTCTCGTCAGAATCCATCTTGTATATTTACAAATCTACCTTTTGACCGTACATTGAATACTCTTCCAGAAAAATATGGAAAAACAAAAATCCGAATATGCAAGTATGATTTTTTAATGTTGTTTCAATGTCGACGTCAGACGTTTCGGTCTAGTAGACCTTCTTCAGGACATAGTTATTAAAACATAATTGAAATTAGACGATATTCAAGTCAACATGAAAAGACGATAGTCATAAGATAATATCAAAACAGAATAACAGAAATTTCTAAGATCAACGTTCCGTTTCGCAATACGATCACGTCAGGGTCACGTGGGCGATGTTGTGAAAACGTATTCCTAAAATAGAGTATATTTTAAATGAAAAAGAATTTTATTTTAATCTAAAATTTATATGTATGTTTTTCCAGCATTAATCTTGCCAGAAAAGGGGAAATATTAAAGAAGCCGGGTCTAGTATTCACCGTGCGTGAGATAGATATTATTCCTGCCTCATAAATCCGTCTAAGATTTTTATTATGAATATATTTTAAAATCTTCACAGAATCAAAATCGAAATTATGATCAGATTTAGTTATGTGTACAAATAAAGCATTGTTTAAATTACTGAGGCGAATATCTCGTTTATGTTCGAAAACACGAGATTTTACGGACCTCCATGTTTCAGCAAAATATTTAGATGATGAATTCAGTTATATTGAGGATACTTTTTAAAATCTTTCGTATCCGAAACAATTATTACTGAGCGCTAAAAATAAAGCCTTGAAAATCCATAAAATTCATTCATCAGCGCAAAATGACACCTCGAATACTACTACTACAATTACATCAGGGAAGGGCACACTTTCAGCTGCCCCTGATAATTCTTTTGGTCGCATATTTTTACCAAATAACCATTTGACCGAACATATCTCCAATAATTTAAATGCGCTAAAAAAAAAAAATACAATATTATCTACTAGAACTATCTGCAGATTATTAAATAACACCAGCAACCAACATATTACATCCGATGCTTGCATCTACCAAATCTCATGCAACAACTGTGACTTAAAATATGTGGGTGAAATAACTAGAATAATCAAAAATTTACGTGTAACGTCAATCGATATCTTCCATCTTCTGGAATCCAGTTCATCTTTTTTTCTTTCCAAAAACATTACCTTTATCAAAATATTTCTATGAATAAAATTATATAATTTTA